CCTCCTGCACACCCCCTACTGGGGATGTGCCCGCAACCAAGGTACATGCCCTTGACCGGAATCAAACCTGGGACCCTTGAGTCCGCAGGCTGACGCTCTACCCACTGAGCCAAACCGGTTAGGGCAAGGACTCATACTTTTTGACTTGAAAACTTATCAGAAACTTACTACAAAGCTACTGTAATTGAGACAGGGTGGTGTAACCTATGGATCGACACATAGATCAGCAGAGTAGAATTGAGGGTCCAGAAATAAACCCTCACATTTATGATTTTCAACAAGGGTGGCCCCAGGCAATTCAGTGGGGGAAAGAATACTCTTCACCCAGTGGTGCTGGGACCACTGGCTGTCCACACACACAAGAATGAAGTTGGACCCCCTACCTCACACCATCCACAAAACGTAATCAGAGTGGATCACAGACCAAGTGTAAGAGCTAAGACTGTGACATTCCTAGGAGAAACCTAGGAGTAAGTCTATATGAACTTGGGTTAGGGAACGTTTTCCTCAACACAACACCCAAAGCAGAAGGGACAGACGTGCCTCATCCGAATCAAGAACTTCTCTGCCGCCAACAATGCCACCAAGAAATGAAACGACAACCCACAGAGTGGGGGGTGCTTGCAAGTCTTTTATCTGATCAGGGATTTGTATCCAGAATCTATAAAGAATCCTCATAACTCAAAAAAGGTAAACGACACATTTTAAAGATGAGCAGAGGGTCTGAATAGGCATTTCTCCCAGGAAGGTATACAGATGGCCAACAAGCACATGCAAAGATGCCCACAGCATCAGGCATCGGGAAACGCAGCTCAGATCTGCAGGCTGCCGCCTCCCCCACTGCGATGGCTGGAATCAGACAAGACAGGGCTGGGCGGATGTGGAGCCCACGTGGCCAGCGGGTGGAAAGGGGAGTGGTCGCCTTGAAAACAACCGGGAGTTGCCTGAAACATTAAACACAGAGTTCCTGCTCGACCCAGTGACTCCACTGCGGGGTGTCCCTCTCCCCAGGAGAGGTGAACATGTCCGTCCACACACAGACTTGTGTGCACGTGGTCACAGCAGCCAAAACGTGGAGACAACTGGAATGAGCCCCACGGCTGGATGGGTAAATAAAACCTGGTCCATCCACGTCATGGAACCTTGTTCAGGATCGAGTGGAAAGCTCCACCCCCTGCAGACACCAGACACGCAGCCCTTCCCGCAGCCCCTCCCCCCGCGGCACCTCTCCTACGCTGCTGGGCCCGGACCAGAAGCCGAAGCAGCTTCCTGGCTGATTCACGTCTCCCCGCCCGGGAAGTGCCAGCGCTGAGAACAAGTTCGGGCGCATCCATGGGCTGGAGGCAGCGGGAAGCCAAGTTGGCACCCCCTCCGAGCTCTCACAGCGGAGCGTCGCAGCCTTAGACGCTGCGGGTGCAGAGGCGCCAGACGGAGCCCCACTCGCTCCCCAAGAGGCGGCCCGGGGACCCTGAGGTTTAATGCAGCGCCTCCCACCCCCGGCTTCACGGGACCCCCATGGAAGCGGCTCCGGGGCAATGGTGGGGTGCTGGTCCCTTCCCTTGGGGAGGGCTGCTGAATTTTGAGGCCCAGTGCAAACAAAACCAAAGTGTGGGTCCTTGTTCAAAAGTAGCAGTGTTGCCCTCGCTGGTTTGGCTCGGTGGATAGAGCATCAGCCTGCAGACCAAAGGGTCTCGGGTTCGATTCCGGTCAAGGGCACGTACCTTAGTTGAGGCTCCTCCCTGGCCCGGGCCCTGGTCAGGGCACGTGCAGGAGGCAACCCATCGATGTGTTTCTCTCACATCGATGTTTCTGTCTTGCCCTGTCTCCTCCACTCTCTCTAAAAACCCTCGGGTGAGGATTAACAAAAAAGTATGAGGAGCTTCGAGGCACGAGCACGGAGTTCCCTCGCCCAGGCGCTCCTGAGTGAGGCCCCGTGTCTGCGCAGGTGGCCGGCCCAGGAAGCGGGCTGTGCGGTGTGACCCGCAGCGCTGTGTCCCTTGGGGTGCTTCCCGGGCCTCCCTGGGCACTGGGACCCCGGCTCGGGCTGTGGCTCCACTCCTGCACAGAGGCACCCATGGGCGTCACCCCGCCTCTCCCGTCAACCACGTGTGTGGACACGGCGACGTTCCGCTTCGTGACTTTACAACGTGGCGAAGAAGCCGGCCTGGTGCGTCCTGCACTGGCCGCCCCCGAGAACGCCCGTCACCTCCACCCCACAGAGTGGGGCCAGGCTCTG